TGGCCCTAAAGAGGGCCGTTTGGTTTAAGATCCGCTGTTCCTGCCCCATTTCATATGGGGTACATTTCTGCGATTTGCTGCCACAAGTTGTACAAGCAGTCGTTCCCTCCAAATTCTCTTTTCCAAACGAATTCTTCCACATAGCTCGCCAATAACCCGCGATCGGTGCCGAACCTCGATTTGTGTTTCATCTTGAATTTTTGCCACATCGACTCCACTCCGTATGTACACGCCCCAGTATCCGGATCCACAAAATGCTTTGAGTGGTTAACCGTCTCGTGGTGATACTTGACTGGCAATTTTTTGATACCACCATATGCCGACCATAGATCGGACATAATGGTGGTACCCGGCAAAACCTTATCGATGATGATCGGTAGAAGGATATCAGCGTTCCTTCTTTCGACCGGTACCAGGAAACACCGATTGGTGTTCCTTTCCACTCCACCGAATATCCACTGTTGATCCGTTACTCTTCCGACGTTGTACTTCCGTCGAGTCAACACGGTCTCGTCGATTTCGACCACACTTCCAGGCCCACCGATGCGCACGGGATGATCGATGTAGTGCTGCACGGCAACCTCGCGGAAAAAATCCATCCAATCCACCAATGTGTACGTTCCCAACGAGCTGCCGTCCTTCCTCTTTATTTCACGCCGAATATTGGAGAAGGTGAGTTTTCCCAAACACCAACAATAGGAGAGCTGAAATGCCTCGTTCGGCGCTAAATGACTGTCTTCCAAGAACATTCCCACTAAATAACCTACCACCTTCCTGCAGCCTACTGTTACCTGAGGCTCAGGTTGTATATTTCGAGCCATAAAACCGGACCCCGAGGTCCTCATTCATCTCTTCCTTACTATAACCGACTTCTGTAAGATGGATTTCTTTACTATGACGGATTTCTGTAATCTTCGTGAATCAATTGAACGATACTTTCTGAGCATACGTAATCACTAATAATTCTGTTGCATTGTATAGTGTTTATACTATCTCCAATTTGTCGTTCTCTCTGCCTCACCATTCAAAAAACTCTCTCAGCCGTCAGACGGATATGGTGAGCGATACACGCGATGCTCGTAATGGAAGCAGACAGAAAAGTGCAATTAGAGAGCCTTCTCTTTCGGACTTGGAAAAATTTTTGCTTGTTTTGAGCGTTTTGGGAGCATATCGACAACAACGCCGGATGAATTCAGTTTAAATTGTTATGCAATTGTAAAGCTTAAAAAGATAAATATAAGCCTGAACTCAGCGAATAGCTTCAATGCTAATAAGCAAATGCTTAATGAGCTCAAACGAGTTCAAAGCTTTGCATTATCGACAATTTCATCACTAACCCATCTTTGGTGATTCATAAGTTGAGTTAGTTTTCAGGATACGTAGTAATGAGGTTGCATGTTTTGTGCTAGTGCTATGTTCAGTATTGGCAACACTCTTGTTACTACCAGTCTTATTGAACGCTACCGTGATTCATTTGGATATTCTTCAGGCACAACCGCTAGCTGATGACAGCAGTTTTGAAATAATCGGTTAGTGTCACTCTGATATAGCTGCATTGATGCTTCCTTATTTCACAGCTCATATGTAATATTATTAAAGTGAAACTGTACATTTCTTCTACTGGCAATGCTAGTTCTAGATTCAGCTAAAGAACAACATCAAACCGTTACTAAGTGTATGTTCGATGGAACAAATTCCTTTTTTATCTTCTACACATTTGGCTGTGGTTTCGTGCTGCCTGCACTTCTCATAACCTACTTTTATACGAGAGTAAGTGAATGATATTCGATGATTATAGTTGTGTGTTGAAATGCTATCACACTTAATCTTAAATGAGTTCTGCGTTTGAGCATTAATGTTACCTCAATTTTTCAAGAATATTTTAGTTCGTAATTTTTTTTCAGGTAATTTTTCGGCTTCAAAAAAGTGTCGCCAATATCCGTCGTAATAGTGTCAGTTCGAAAAATTCTGGATCTACCTCACGAGTTCAGCAGGTCTCAAAAATAACTGTTGAAAAGAAAAACAACACATAACTATTCAACACAGACGTTTAAATTCAGCATCAGTGATGATAGTTAACTGATGGAAGTGTTGACGTACAAAGTAATAGCGAGAGTAATAGGAGAACTGGTAACGAAATTTTAGGTGACAAAACGCATTGTTGCCGTAATTCTATTCTATTTCTTTTGTTGGACGCCTCAGTGGATTCTCAATTTACTCTCTCACTTCAGCCTCATTACGGTTCGCGCTTTATTTTCGTTGATTTGAATATTACTCATCTAGGTGAATATTCAGTTGGATGATGAACATCCCAAATTGTTGTCGTCTATTTTAGGTTTCATGGTCTACACTAACGCTGTCGTCGATATTTTTTGCAGCACATTTATTGGTTTGTTTTAATTCGGCTACAAATCCCATTCTTTACGCATTGATCAATCGAGAATTACGACAACAGCATGTTCAAGCAATGTTGAAACGAAGACGTTCCATATCGAACGCCACTAACCACGCGCTTGATTTTATCGCTAAGCACTCGCACAGGTATCTTCTTATATGCACCGTAATATTTTGTTAATTATCAGTACATTATCACTTACTTGTTATCGCACTTACTAATCTTATCAATACCGTTATCATCAACTTTCAGTGGCCTAAATCCGTTTTACAATGATGCCCAACAACGACAACAGCAGCAACAACAACCTCAGCAAACTTTAAGAGCGAGTAATCATTCATTGTGAGTGTTCTTGGATTCGTTTTTCTTCATGATCAATTATCGATGAAAGGTTCTATTTTTTTACGGCGTCAAGTCGAACTCAAGGCATTTTGAAGGATTGCTTTGGTTGGTTTTAAGAAGACACCCGCTTTACGACGTCAACGATCGAGTAGTTGTGATAGTTTGAAGAGTGCACAAGCAAAGTCAGCGGTGCTCGCAAAAAGGTGTGTTGCTGTCATTCTTATAATCCGTTTAATGTTGATACCACTTTGAAACGATGCAAAGTAAATCGCTTCACTTCAGGGCATCTACATCATCGACGATTACTGAAAACAGTCCTAGCGCGATACGGCATAAATCGACAAATGCTTTATCTGCAGCCCAACAGTATTTCAAAGATGATTTATCAAAACCACAACAATCCGATACTACAATTCAAATTAATTGTGTTATTAATACTGAGATTAATATTACTCTCGCTGTTCCATCTAATCTCATTACTGAGAATCTCAACGCCAACAAAACCCCAGCAGCAATTGCCAGTTACCGATCAAGAAAACAAAAACAACTACCATCATCGTCATTGCTAGGTGATCAGAATATCGCTGCGGAACTTTTATCGTACGATGATCATATCGACGTCAGCAATAAACATTACCCTTATGAACGATCATCAAACGTTCAAAGAAGGTCCTCAGCATCCGAGAACGTGATGCTGTTGAAATATGAATGCTTTCATTCGAATGATGAATCATCATCAATCGAAGAATTACATTCGAATAAACTGAGGAATGCGGATAGTACCATGAAAGAAGATTGTCTGATGCGATCGACTGCAGTTCCGATCAAATTCGAACCGAATGATGCACTACTCTAATCGAAATGATTAAATTTTTGCATTACTGATGAATTATTTATCAGTAGAATTTGTTTACAGAATTCATCACTCAATCGGTGCATCTCACTTGAGTCAATAATTTTGACAATCACTTTGGAAATTGATGATTTTTGAAATGAAAATGGCAGGCATCAGTGCTGTCATATATCAGCATTCAGCAAACTTTTTAGCGTTTAGCATTGGTATACCAAGCGTTGATTGCTGCCCATATGAATGGACATGCTCATGATCGAAAGCGTACCCACTGGCTTAAAATCTGTTCTCTACATTTGTCGCAAAACCCGGAAACCTACCACGGCTATATTTCTGAGTACGGATATGATTCTGTACCGGAAGGATGATATGATAACAGCTTCGTCGTCACTGTTTTTTTCATCTGTACATATGTATGTATATATGAAAGATCATTTCAACACTGCGCTCTTCCGTATTTCATGATGTCGAACGATAGTGATGGTAGTTGTTTATCAATGATGAATAAATAAATATGTAATTGCAAAAAAGCACGATTTGGTCGAATACAATAAAGTGTGATTATTGACTGTGGGATAAAATGTTTATAACACTTGACTGAAATGACTAAATGCCGAAATTTTTTAAAATTACGGATGTAGATACTTAAGTGTCGCAGCAGATTTGCAGGTGAAGCAACAAAACGATTAATCAGAATATATGTATGTGTGCATTTGAGAATCTAGGATTCAACCTTCAATATGACAGTGAACTGACTAATAAGCATGCATACATGTTTGCAATAATTCATTTTCATTTACAAACTTTCCATTGATACCTCCGAATGAATCACACACGCAGAGCATTAAAAAACAAATTGTTTGTGTGTTGAACAAATATGTCTAACATCAGGGTAGTGTTTAAAGATTGAAAGCTTATTCGTTATCAAATTAAATGCAACTGAGAAGATTTCATAATCGTTTTATGCGTTCGTTTTCTTTCGCAGGTAACACACTTATATTGATCAGTTGAATTGCCAAGTGTAAATAAACATCCCAAATGAACAAATAAATAAATGAGGTTCTAATCGTTGGCATCAGTCAATGTGTTTGTTATTTATGCTGACTCGGTTCGCTCGTATTCTTTTCGAATCGTGTTCAGTTAGACTCGTTCCATTTTCCAGCTGATGAAAGCGTCGGCTGGTATTAATGCGTATGTTCCTGTATTTATCTGTTCAATGATTTATTCATTTTTTCATTAGTTCATTCAGTTGCATCAAATCATTTCTTTAACTTCATTTAATTTTATTAATACATTTTTGAGCATTATTCCTAATTGCAATTAGCAAAGTGTTAATTATATTATTTATTGCTTCGCACTTCACACTCACAATCACAATTCACACACGGAAGAATGTAATACCCACTTGAACACTGCTAGTCAGGGTAAAAATTTGGACGTTACGATATGAGTACGGCTACGGTTTTTGAGGTTATTGGGTACTTCCGTAATGCGATATCTCGCGTTTGCTTTATGACACATCAAAATAATCTTTTTAAGCAATAAACGGAATCTGATTAATAACAATGTACGAATTTATACGTGAACAGATGAAAAAAAAAACTTATAGCTTTTGCGTACGGCTGAGTCATTAATCTAGCATTTAATCATTCTATTTAAGGAAAGTAAATATTTGAACAGTCTTGAGTTAGAAACTAGCTGTGTATGCATTCTATAACGTTTATACAGAAACATTTAAATTCATTTTTGATTGGGAGGGTTATCTTGATTTCTTTCCCGTTGGGTCTGGGTTGCTTCAACTTTAAACAACCTATCTGTAATATACAAATGGTCGCTGGTTGATTGTGCTCGACTTATTTGTTTGTCACGCGCTTGTTTGTCGCTTTGTTTTGGCCGGTCACTGAGCTGGTTCAGTTGTCTGTGTGTCCAAGCTTTTCCTCATTTGATCGCACATCGCTTTTGTTTTGCAGACGCTCAATTTTGAGTAATTGCACCTTTTATTTACACGATAAAAGAATACACCCACGCATAAAAGAAGCATCTTTCATTATACCGTGTGCAATAGCAAACTACTCACACATAATTATTTTCTACGATTATAGTCACAAATGATAGCTAAACAGAATGTTTCAAGAAAAAGTTAACAAAATGAGCATCACAATCGGCTGGAGCTGGCTGTTCGATTCTGTCCTTAAATGCCGCTTTTTTCTGTAGGCGTGGTACGTCCAATTCTGAGACAGTCCATATCATCCATCGTCGAGTTTGTCTTGAGGACCTTGTTTTAGTGTTTTTGCAGATTTTGCCTGCTGTTAGGTTTCTGAGGTCCTTGCTTGTTTTGTTTCATTTGGGAATTTCCTTGATTAATTGATGGTTAGTAATTGGCATAGTAAGGATTTGCAATGTTTGCTCTTTGGATTCATTCGTTGAGCTCGATGATTATTGTTCTGATAGTCGCTCGTAGGTAATTAGCGATATTTCATTCATCTCCGCTAATGATATTGGTACACCACTCGATTTCGAGCAAAAGTTTCCTCCGCGAACGGAGAAAAGTTTTGGAGGAAAGCGGAGGAAAGTTTTGCTCGAAAGCAAGTAGTTGACCAATATCATTAATGTTATGAGCCTGAGCCAGGCTGTGATCCGGCTTGTATCTATTATCTAATCATCATCTCTTGCTTTCAATCGCGTCTTTCGCGACAACGTTGTTCAGTGATTTGCGACGCCAAAACGAGGACATTTTGCTGAAGAGGTGATCGTTTGCAGTGTTCTGTACTTGGAAACTTGGCAAAATCGCATCAGAAGTGAGACTGAATTTGAAAGTGGCAAATCTTCAAATTACTACCTGTCTCCAGTGCATTTGTCATCGGTGATTGTTCTGAGTGTAAGCACTTTTTGTTCGATTCTTTCATCCATTCGACTGAATTTAAACGAGATTTCTGTTGCTGTTCAATTCTTCAACTTTTCCAAGCAGTGAACTGGTTCTCAGATGATAATTAATACCGAACATTTTCACGTTGGCTGACTGAAATGAGATTCGTGAAATTATGATCGTAAGGCTATTCTGGCCTGAAGCCTATTATGCGATTAGGCTGCACCTGATGACACATGACTTGTTCTGCCTTCACGCTGAGGTTAGAAGATAACTGAATGATTCTATCTGTGTATTCCAATATCTAAAAGATTTATTTCATCGCGATTTCTATCTCCGTTCTTCAGTACTGCTTATCCTTGAAATATTTCTATCATTTAGAATTTCTATAAGCGCTACACTTAGAAACATTCTATCAGCTTGTTGAATTTTTGTTTCGGTCATATCATTGATGCAATCGTCAGATACGCTTCATTTTAATGCAAAAAAAAACACTCATGTTGAGATGGGTGTTCCATAGACTGTTATCAGAAATGATTGCAATGTTGCACGCAAATGATCGTCGCAATCAACTGAATAAATCATCGACCATTGTACTTTAAACGCCGAATTCGCTGCTCCACCATCGAAAATAATCTGAAGCATTCCACGAAAACTTGTTTTCGTCCTTTCTTTATTCACAATATGAAAAAATTACTTATAAAATAGTAGACGTTCAAGTAAAATTGCCACCATTCATTAAATCACTGATAGCCTTCACTAAGAGTTCATCAAAACATCAGCAATTTCAATCATTCAATTATATGAATGAATTATAACACCATTGCTGTTGCTATTATTACTGATATTATCATATTTCCTATTTCTATCGCAATCACCGTTGATAACATTATTACTTTTCATCACGAAAAGTATTGATAGTCGATTATCGTACTATCATTGTTTGCTGATCTTAGCCTTTATTTGAGCCTTCTTCTTGTAGATCGCAAGCAGTCATACCGATCAAAACTGTTGATCAATTAATCGTCTTATCAGATAGATTTAGAGTTGTCTGACGAATGACTGTTTTGAGATGCTTTCAGATGTACACTCGTTTCCTGTTTTATCTTCTCTTTTTGGCTAGCAATTGCTTTGCGTTGAATGAAGGTTCGTCTGATTCATACATCACGATGGTGTGTCAATTTTTATCCATAAATGCAGTCTGTATGGATCTTGACGGTGCACTCATGCATCTCTGCACCAAGAGAACAGTTTGAAGTCAGCTAAAACATTCCATAACCATGAAATGAAATGTGATCAGCTATAAGATTTGTGCTCCATGGTTATGAATTATCATTTCGTCTCTTCACACCTTTTACTTCATCTCCATCTCCATGCCAACTATTATTTTCTAATTTGGATGATCTCTCGTCGGTTTCCCCATAACTCGCATTATATTCAGGTGGCCCAGGACCTGTGATGTCTGGCTCAGGAAACGTAAATACGGGTGATGTATCACCCCTTCAAGGTACATATGATATTGTTTTAATGTTTTTTATCAATTACTAACAACGCTCGCTGTTCGCATAGTTATTGCTTCAGCAGTATTATGATTGGATCATAATTATTGCCATAATAGCGTAGAGTAAATATTCTTTGAATCTCGAAGCATCTTTTTGAAATCGATAAGGATTTGTGTTCTAGGAGGCCCCGGACCAGCGCTACCGCCAAACAATGCTGGTAAGTTTGAAGAATTGTGCTTATGTGTCGATAATGTTTCATGGTTTGATTGCATCTATGTTATGTTGAA